TACAAAGAACTCAAGAAGCTACTCACCAAAACACCAAATAATCCAATTAAAAAGTGGGGTATTATATACAGAATTCTCAATAAAGGAATATAAAATGGCTGAAAGACACTTAAGAAAGTGCTCAGCATCCTTAGCCATCAGGGAAATGCAAATCAAAACAACTCTGAGATACCATCTCACTCCTGTCAGAATGGATAAAATCAAAAACACAAATGACAGTTTATACTGAAGAAAATGGAGAAAGGGGATCACTCCTCCACTGCTGGTGGGAGTGCCAACTAGTACAGCCACTTTGGAAATCAGTGTGGTGATTTCTCAGGAAAATGGGAATCAGTCTATCTCAAGATCCACCAATTCCACTCTTAGGCATACACCCCAAAATGCACATCCATACAAGGATATCTGTTCAAATACGTTCATAGAAGCATTATTTGTAATAGCCAGAACCTGGAAGCAACCCAGATGCCCTCAACTGAAGAATGGATAGAGAAAATGTGGTATATTTACACAATGGAGTACTACTCAGCAGAAAAAAAACAAAACAAAAAAACAGTGGAATCTTGAGATTAACAAGCAAATGGATGGAACTAGAAGAAACCATCCTGAGTGAAGTAACCCAGTCACAAAAAGACAAACATGGTATGCACTCATATATAGAAATTAGACCTAGAGCAAAGGATTAGCAGCCTGCAACCCATACCACCATAGAAGCTAGGAAACAAGGAGGACCCTAAGAGAGACAGATATGGTCCCCTGGAGAAGGGGAAAGGGACACGATCTCCCAAGCAAATTGGGAGCATGAGGGAAGGGGTGAGGAAATTAGGAGAAAGAGAATGGGAGAAAAGGAGGGGTGAAGAGGACATGAGGGATCAGAAAGATTAAGTCAGGGAAAGAATAGAGGAGAGCAAGAAAAGAGATACCATAATAGAAGGAGCCATTATAGGTTTAGAGAAATCTGGCACTAGGGAGATGCCCAGAGATCTACAAAAATGACCCCACCTAAAAACCTAATCAATAGTGGAGAGGCTACCTTAAATGCACTTCCCTGATAATGAGATTGATGACTACCTTATACGCCATCCTAGAGCCTTCAGCCAGTACCTGATGGAAGCAGAAGCAGACACACACAGCTAAATACTGAGCCAAACTCCTGGAATCCAGTTGCAGAGAGGGAGGAATGATGAACAAAGGGGTCAAGACCAGGCTGGAGAAACCCACAGAAACAGCTGACCTGAACCAGGGGGAGTTCATGGACCCCAGACTGATACCTGGGAAACCAGCTTAGGACCAACCCAGACCCCATGAACGTGGGTGTCAGTAAGGAGGCCTGGGCAGTCTATGGGGCCTCTGGTAGTGGATCAGTATTTATCCCTAGTGTACAATTGGACTTTGGGAGCCTATTCCACATAGAGAGATACTCTCTCAGCCTAGATACACAGAGGAGGGCCTGGGCCCTGCTCCAAATGATGTGACAGACTTTGAAGATCCCCCATGGAAGGCCTCACCCTCCCTGGGATACAGAAAAGGGGTGGGGGGTTGGATAGGGGGTGGGTAGGAGAGGAGGGGAGGGAGAGCGAACTGGGATTGACATGTAAAACAAGATTGTTTCTACTTTAATTTTCTTTTTTTTTTAATTTTTATTTATATATTATTTTGTCTGCATGTATGCCTCCAGGCCAGAAGAGGGCACCAGATCTCATTACAGATGGCTGTGAGCCACCATGTGGTTGCTGGGAATTGAACTCAGGACCTCTGGAAGAGCAGTCAGTGCTCTTAACCTCTGAGCCATCTCTCCAGCCCTCTACTTTAAATTTAAAAAAAAAAAAGAGTAGAAAAAAAATCATCTATATTACTCTTTGGCCTATACTCAAAGGATGCTTTATCCTACCACAGAAATGTTTGTTCAACAATATTAAGTCCTGCTGTATTTGTAATTGCCAGATATGGAAACAACCTAAATGCCTCTCAATTTATGAATGGATAAAGAAAATGTAATATATTTACATAATGGGATATTATTATTGTAGATTAAACAGTTTGTGCCTGGGTTATAGTGCTTAAAATTCTCCTTTTGTCATTTGCAGAGTACCTTCTGGTACCCAGATCTAGTCTGTAGTTGGGGAAATGCTCTTTGTAAGCACCAGCTCAACCATTAAAAATGAAATTCTTGGCTAAATGGATGGAACTAGAAAAGTAATTCTGATTGAGGTAACCCATACCCAAAATGGCAAATATGGTGTGTATTTGCTGTATATAAGTGGAAAATAGCTGTTAAGGCAATGATAACCACACTGTAATCCAGAGTCACAGAGATTGGATTTAAGGTAAGAGACTGGGGAACAGATAAATCTTCCTAAAAAGGGGGAATGGAATACATAGTTATGGAAGGACAAGAAGGGGAGGGATAAGGAGGATGAGGGAGGGAATATGAGGAGAGACACATAAATTTAAGAGCAATTGATGACTACTATGGAAATATAATATAGCAGAAGCATCCAAAATATCTACATTATGAAGGGAATCTAAGTAAAATCATCAAATAATGGGGAGACAGAGTCCCAACTGGACATCTCTTGTCACCAAATAAAGATTCCAGTACTGGGATTGGGTTACATCTAATTAAGTTGTTGGCCAAAGCAATCCCATGGAAACCCTCTAACAACCCACACTGTTGTCAAGACTATTGGTTGCTCTTCACAAACTTACAGGAAGGTTCTGTTGCTGAATATAACACCTACACAGCTCATTGAACATAGATAAGTTGAGCTGGTGCTTACAAAGAGCATTTCCCCAACTACAGACTAGATCTTGGTACCAGAAGGTACTCTGCAAATGACAAAAGGAGAAATTTAAGCACTATAACCCAGGCACAAACTGTTTAATCTACAAAGGTGTCATGCCTGCAAGATACGCTAGTACAATGATGGCATGAAGCTTGTGTGTGTATCCAGCCAGTATTGGATTTGACTTAAGACCCAGTCTTCAAGATGAAATCCATATCTGACATTGCTTGGCTGAGCAAGAGCCAGAGACTATATAGTTCAGGGACTGTAGGGAGACACCATAACCATGCCTCCTAAGGACTGGCTACAGGTGTGTCTGACCAAGCCCATCAGAGTGTGGTCAAGGTGATGTCAGGGTGACGTGGGAGAGGTTTTTAAGGGACAGACAAGGCACATGGGAGCTCTCTGGCTTGCTATTGGTTGACATTTATCTATTAAAATTTATCCTATCCTTACAGATTTTATATCAGTTATTCACAGCATTAAGGGACCTAGGATAACACCAAAAACTACTGTTCTACTAAAGGAACATAGGAATAATGACTCCTAATGACTTTATGCTATACTCCAAGATCATTCAGTTCCCTGGTCATCCATCAGAGAAGCTTCCTCCTACAGCATATAGGAACAAATACAGAGACTCACAGCTAGACAATATACAGAGAGTGACAGACCTAGAACACCCTGCCCTAAATGGGATGTCTCCATCAAATTCCACCCCTTAGAGCTCAGGGAACCCTTCAGAAGAAGAGGTGGAAAGAATGTAAGAGCCAGAGGGGACAGAGAATACCAAGGAAACAAGATATTCTAAATACAACATGACTAACACACACCTGGACTCACAGGAACTGAGGCAGCATGCACAGGGCCTGCAATGGTCTAAAGCAGATGGGGTGCTAGAGCTGCAAGGAGATGTGAATGTGTGTCCCCATTCCTAACCCAGAAGCTATCTACAATTAATAACCACTTGTAAATGAAACTTAGTCTCCTCCAAGGTTGTACACTGGGGAAATGAGATACTTTTAAGGGTAGGCCACATGTCCAGCAGTAGATGGCCAACAGAAAATGAAGTCAATGGCATCTTATGAGGTTCCTTGTCTCATAATGACATGTCAGGGCCCTTCTTTACATCTCTTTCTTTCTATCTTTCTTTCTTTTTTTCTTTCTTTCTTTCTCTCTCTCTCTCTCTCTCTCTCTCTCTCTCTCTCTCTCTCTCTCTCCCTTCCTTCCTTTCTTTCCTTCTTACATTATTTTTATTATATTATTTATTTCTCTCTGGTTTTTATCTTGCAGATCCTTTGCATATGTATTATGGCTTCCAGTTCTGTGTTTTTAAGGGATTCCTGGGTGTGCAAATGAGTGGGTCTCTGTGTTTATTTCTGTTTCTTGTATCTGTATTTTCTTGATCTTTTTTGTTCTGTTTGCTTATTTTGTACTATTCTGATGTGTTTGTTTTTGTTTTATCTTATTTTATTATTATCCTTTAGAACACTGTTTATTTTCTAATGAGAGAAAGAAAGGAGGCAGATCCAGATGGTAGGGAAGGTAGAGAGGAAGAACTGGAGTGATAGAGGAAAAGAAACCATAATCAAGATATATTAGATTAAAAATACTATTTTAAATAAAGAAAAGATATAAAATAAACTATTAACATTCAAAGATGTCTTATAATCAAGTTTTTATGAATAGAATTTACAAAATACTTTCAAGTCACATGCTCATGACAGAGTATAAATGCCCATTGCTCAAAGGCTGGATGTATCCTCTCAACATGAAAGACCAGGCAATAATTCCCTACAGCAAAGCTTTACTATAAAGGGAAAGACTCATATATAAGATGCATTTGAAAATCAATTTCATACTTCTAATTTAAAGCTAATTCAAATGTAATTACTGTGTCAGGACCATTCATTTGGTGAGGGTCAGTAATACAATCACCAGGGGCAACAATAATCTATAAAGCTTCTTAGAATATAACCTCCTAACAGCCATGCTGAGCAAGGAAAAACAACACAACACAGATAGGAGACTCACTAGGCATTATGTAGACTGATCTACTTAGAAGCCAAGCCATTTAAGACATGCACATGCTCTGTGCTGTTTCTCCTCTAACAGAGAATCTTCCCCATCTGCTGCAGCACCGATTCATATCCCTTCTCCAATATTGGCAAATACAAGAGGTGACAGGACACATTGAGCACAAAACATTAAACTTACCACTCTCATCATCTATGCTGAATCTCCCGAGACCACTGCCATCTCTTATGGAGTACTGGATCTCTCCATCCCTACCAGAATCCTCATCATGGGCAGTCACCTGCAGCACACTTGTTCCAATCCGTGAGTTTTCTTTTACAGATCCAACAACAGCAAAGTCTGGGAAATAGGGCATATGTAGGTTTTCATTGACATCCACCACCTCCACCTCAACAAAGGATACTGATGACAAAGAGACAGGCCGCCCTTTGTCTTTGGCTCTGACTGTGAGGTTGTAGAATTGCTGCTTCTCATAGTCTAGCTCTTTGCTCAAGCGGATAGCACCACTTGCTTTGTCTATTTCAAATCTCCCATTATAATCATTGATCAGAGAGTAACGCACTTGACCCCCTAATCCAAGGTCAGGATCCTGAGTTTCAAGCCAAGCAATGACTGTGCCAACAGGGAGATCTTCAAGAACCTTCACACTGTAGCTAGTGGGGATGAAAGCTGGGGAGCAGTCGTTGACATCATCCAGAAAGATCTTCAAGGTGACAACAGAAAACAGTTGTTGGCCACTTTCTGCTTTGTCCCTGGCTTCTATTTTCAACGAATAGTTGGCTTTGGATTCCCTGTCCAATTGATCAGCTACAGAGACAATTCCAGTTGAGCTATTGATGGTAAACTGATGTGTGTCTGTCAAAACAGAGTACATTACCTCACCATTAGAACCCAGGTCTTTGTCTCTTGCCTCCACTTGAATAATCTCAGTGCCAATACTCGAACTTTCAAGAATGCTGACTGAGTAGCTGTCCTGAAGAAACACTGGGTTGTTGTCGTTAGCATCCTCCACATTGACAGTCAGCAATCGCCATGATGATTTCTGTGGCTTTCCAAGGTCATAGATAGTTATGTTGAGAAGATAGAGGTCTCTATGCTCTCGGTCCATGGGCATGAGGACTTTAAGTTGTCCAGTCTCCATATCAATATTGAAGCAACTGTCTGTATTTCCATCTGATATTGTAAACAGGACTTTCCCATTGAAGCCAGAGTCAGCATCATATGCTTTAATCTTCAGGATGTTAGTTCCAACTGGCATATCCTCCTTCACAGCCACATCAGAGGGGAAAGACTTGTCAAAGTGTGGTCCTTGCCTATTAATTGAATAAAAGTCAAGAAATCCATCTTCTAGATTCAGTTTCCCATTAGCTTTTGCTTTAATGAGTAGTTTCTCTGCCAATTTCTGAGCCACACGAGTTTCTCGGCAGCTGAAGCTCTTTGAAGACACTTTCCCATGGAGTACTGAGATGTTAATGGTCATGGGGTCTGCGAAATTCTCCCCATCTGTAGCTGTGATTCTGAGGGCAAAATTACCATTTTTAATGCCAGAATTCATCAGTGGCTTTTTAAGCTGTAAAACACCAGAGTCTGGGTTTAAATAAAAGAACCCAAGTTCATTTCCAGAAATGATTTTGTACTTTACAAGCTCAAGTTCATCAATATCAATTGCAGAGACAGCTGTGATGTGACCCCCAACAGGAAAGTCATATGAAATAACTCCCTGGCAAGCCACTTTTTCAAAGAGAGGGCTGTTGTCATTGATATTCCCTACCCGAATGGTCACATTCACCTCACTTTCATGGCGGTATGGTGACCCCCAATCAGATGCTCTCACAATGAACCTGTATGTCTCTGGGGAGGATTCAAAATCTAACTCTTCAGTTGTGCTGATCACACCTGTGAACTGGTTAATGGCAAACGGTAAAAGATTCAGGCTGGCAATGCTGTAAGTGATGTAGCCATTTTCTCCTTTATCCTTATCAGAGGCAGACACAGTCAACACATTTGTTCCAACAGGAATACTCTCATTCACGAAAGTCTCATACACTGTCTGCTGGAATTCTGGGGTGTGGTCATTGGCATCCTCAATCCCAATGGTGACTTGTGCCTTCACATCTCCTTCTTTGTTCGTCACCTCCAACTTATAAACTTCCTTCTTCACTATATTCAGGGGCTGTGCTGTGACAATCAGACCTGACCGAGGGTTAATTTTGAAGTACTCTGCATCCTTACCAGGAGATAGTTTATATTCCACATCCAGCGGCTCTGGATTTACCTTGACTATGGCCACCAAGACACCAGGAGGGGAAAACTCACTTATGCTGACTTCATACACATCTTTTTCAAACCTGACTGGGATGCTGTCTCTCCTGGGATTGGCAATGTGGACTGTCTTTAGTTCTGAAAACTTCTGAGGTGACCCTTTGTCTTTCGCTTGGAGAGTGAGGTTGTAGCCATAGGAGAAGCTCTCCCAGTCCACCTGCCTTCTCTCCTTGACTTTATACTCATTCATCCACTTTCCTTCTTTAGCCAGGAAGAACTGATCCAGAGGATCTCCAGCCACGATGGAAACAGATTCGATCTCTCCATTGGCTCCCTCGTCCAGGTCATCAACTGTCACTACTGCATATGTTGGCTCCTTGTCCAATGAGAAAGGGATGTGAGTGACAACATGGATAATTGGAGCATGTTCATTTATGCGTTCAATGTGAACATAAAGCTTAGCAGTACTGCTTACTCCATTATTGCCATAGAGTTTCATTCCCCGGTCCACTGCTAAGATTTCTAGATCATATCTGTTCTTCTCATCATAATTTAATCGTCCACTTAAAGAGATGACACCACTTGTGGGGTGGACTGAAAAAAGCTCAACTTTGTTTTTAAAGTAGTAGTAGAATTCTCCATTGGAACCGATGTCTGCATCTGTAGCCGTCACCTGGGCAACACTAGTCCTAAGTGGTGTGCTTTCTGCAATGGTGACTGAGTAGGTTGTAGGTGAAAACAGAGGCCTCAGGTCATTCATGTCTAAAACCTGGATGTTCACTTTGGTCCATGCTTCCAAATCTTCTCCTCTGACTGAACCTTTTATGATTAATAAATAATTGTCTTGGATTTCCCTGTTTAGTATGGCAGAATTGCCACCCTTAGTTCTTATCCTGAGAAAGCAGAAATCTGCAATGATGACCTCCTCAGCTTTGAAAAAACCTTCCTCGTCACCAGACACTATTCTATACTTGATATCCCAGGACAGGTCTATTAGGGTGATGCCCATTCTATTCTGACTGTTGACATAGGTCCTCGCTGCCGAGTTTTCATACACAGTAGCATTATAGATGGAATGTGTGAAGTGGAAGCCCAGGGGCCCCGTTCCTGGCAGCCCCTGGGAGACAGTGGCCAACAGCTTCAGGAGCAGCAGGAGGAGGCAGGAAGGAGGCCTTGTGCCCACACAGTGTCCCATAGTCACACCCATCACATCACATGTCCATCCTGGAGGGAAAAACAGAAAAAAAGGTATAGCTTAATTGAGAAGAAAGTAAGAGATGGAAATACAAGATAACTGTAAGGAAAAGATGCTTTCAGAAGACTTTATTGTAAAATCTTTTCATCTAAGCATCAGTACAAAAATCAGAACCTTCACTGCTACTAGATAATAAAGAATTCAAAGTCACTGGGATTTAACCTTCTCTTGATTGAACTTCCTTCAATGACTCTTTCCACTTCTTTTGGGATTAGTTTGGGACACCAAATTTATTATATGTTGGAGGTCAACTTAGAAATGGATAATTGGAGACCTCCAATGCATTTAACTTTGACCTATAGTAGCCTTTTACATAATTATACTAGGAAACTATTTAGATGACTTCATTACTGCACAGTTCAAAATTTAAAAAGCAAAACTCAAAAGATACTAAAAGACTACCAATAAAAAATTAACTAATTTAGAGTACATTCTTAAGATACAATGTAGCCACAAAAAATGATGGTTAGAGATAGATGCTTTCAGACACATAAACTCGAAGGGCAGCTGGTGATGCTTTTCAGTAGCTTTCCTGAAGGACCTTGTTTTGCCCCTGGGCATTTCAGAGGGAACTAATTGATTAGTATTTTGTGTTGTAAACACTCCTAAAATCTGAGTGCGGTAGCCCCCTCTCTAGCGATCACACACAGAAGCCAGCAGAAGCTCTAATGATACTCTGTGTGCACTGATGGACCTGTCTTGTCATCTCTGAAGAAGCCTAGAACCAGTGGAGATGCTGATCTCAGCCTCACTGTGATGACAGGCTATCAGAAGCATATGCAAAGGCCACAGTCTATTCTCTCAAAGGGAAGCCCTGGAGTCCCCAGAGTACAAATTCAGTTTCTTCCTTATTTCTCATCCATCCTGTTAACTTTGGAAGCTGCTCATGGGAGCAGTTTGGCCCATCCTCTGCTGGAAGAGTATGAAGTCTCCAACTACGAGAGTGGAACCACTCCTCAGTGTTCGGATCCTGTCTGTACATCCCACCCCGAGCTCCTACTGCCTAAAAGCTGAGAGGTATCACTCTTGTCCCAGTTCTGTCTCTGGCATCCAGTGCAGCAGCCACTGTGATGTAGCAATCATGCTAGTTCAGTGAGCATCACCTTGAAGTACCAGTCTAACTAGAGGGTTTAATATGCTCATTTCAGTGACCTCCAAGGAAGCATACCTTACTTAAGAGAGAGAGGCAGAGAGAGTCCAGAAATTACATGGGTTAAAAAGCAGCGTAAAAAATGCAGTTTCCATAAGGGGAAACTAAGGGCCCAAGGAAGGGAAACATTCCCCTATATGCCTTCCTCAGATCTCCCAAGAGCAAACACTGTACTGTATGTCCATTCAAGTCACATCCATGGACCAACCATGGGACAATCTCAGAACCAGCATTCATCAACACGTGGGAAGACCATCCTGTCCCAACCCCTGGTCACTCTGCTGGGATATTGTATCCTTGGAGCAGTCCTCAGTGTGACCGAGGAGTCGTCACCCTTACAAAGCCTTTCATGAATCCTTCAAAGCGAATAGCCTGTCATAAGAACCACACTGTTCAACTTAACTAATCAAAATTGACACTTTCAAAACCTGAGCTGTTCTTTCAGCAAGATCCCTTCTGCTTGTTCTCTCTTATTAACTAGAATGAGTGGTCTTCAGTACAATACTCCAAAGACTGATTTAAATAGAGTTCTATTACTGTATGTGGAAGTTTGTATTGAACAACAGCAACAACAACAAAAAATAAACACACTAAGCAAGAGTAGTTTTATCAGCTTCAGCTGTCAAACCCAAAATATCCCAGACTACACTTACATCTGTGGTTTTGGAGAAGGAAAACTAAACCTCACCTGGCACAAACTCGGCCTGGCAGTCTTCCTCAAAGTTTCAGGAATACATGCGTGCTAAAAGTTAGGCATTTTGTATAATTGTGAAGTAAACAATAGAAGAGAAACCTAGCTTCTGATTTTAGCATGCCAAGATAACAGTTTCTATTATTTCAGCAAGGTATTGGTTTTTCCACATGGAAGCCAAAGCTATTTGTGAAGCTATGATAGTTATGATGTCTTAGATGCCCTGTACATTGATTTATCCTACTGCTTTTGGGTTATTTTAAAAAGCACCTATTTCTGAACCCCAGAGCCCATTTTCTACAACTTAGCAACATAATCAATATTTTTTATACAATCCCCAAAGAGATCACCCAGCCATCAATCTGGAGACATTCATCTTTCAGAGGCAGTGCTGGCATGACTCCCAGCCAGCCCTTCTCACTATGAGTGTGGATCTCAGTGTGGGACTCAAATGGAGTGTGCAGATCTGACTTTAAGGGGAGGAATAAAGATGGGAAACATTGGGGCAGGGACAGTAGTGACTAGAACAGCCTCGGCACTGTGAGGACTCAGGCATGAGTTGATAACCTGGTGATATTGCTTTCTGAACATAAAACTGTTCTCCTTAGGCCATTTTTGAAGAGAGAAAAGCTACCTGAAGAAATACTATACTTTCCTTCTCTATTTTCCTGACTTACCCATTTTGAGATGCTGTGTTCTCCTAGATGTCCCTCAACTGAAAAATGGATGAGGAAAATGTGGTATATTTACACAATGGAGTACTACTCGGTCACTAAAAACATGACATCATGAAATTTTCAGGCAAAGGGATGGAACCAGAAAAAAATCATCCTGAGTGAGGTAAAACAGACACAGGAGAACAAACATGATATGTCCTTACCCATGAGAGGATATTAGCTGTAAAGTAAGGGATAACCAGACTACAATCCCACAGACCCAGAGACACGAGGTAACAATAAGGGTTCATGGGGAGAAGCCCAGATCTCCCTGGGAAGGGGAAATAGAAAAGATTTTGTAGATGGACTGGGGGCAAGCAGGTATTGGAATAGGGGGGATCAGGTGGGGAAATGAGGGGGGAGAGAATAAGGAGAAATTTGATTGGAACTGGGTTCATCTGGGATGAGAGGTGATGTGGAAACCTAGTGCCATAGAAACTCACAGGATAATAAAAGTGTTACACTAATGAGGAATCCTAGTGGATGAAAAGATTTGGAGCACAAACCAGTCATTTTCTGTAACAAGGCAAGGCTTTGGGTGGTAGGACTAGGATACCAACCTAGCCATAAAACCTAAGTGGGCCTCATAGAGGCTCATAGAGACTTAAGCAACAATCATGTAGCCTAAATGGATCTGTGCTGTGTCCTGTGCATACATGCTGTGGTTGTACAGCTTGGTGTTCTTATTGATTCCTAACAGTAGGAGTGGGAGTGTCTCTGACTCTTTTGCCTGCTCCTGGGATGCTATTCCTACCACTGGGTTGACTCTTCCAGCCTTGATAGGAGGGTTTATGCCTAGTTATATTGCACCTTGGTATGCCATGTTCAGTTGATGTCCCTGGAAGGCCTGCTCTTTTCTGAAGGGAAACAAGAGGAGGAGGACCAGTGAGGGGAACGGGGAGGTGGGGTCACTGGGAGGCTGTGGTTGAGATGTACTGTATGAGAAAAAAGAGAGAGAGAGAGAAGAAGGAAAGAGGGGGAGAGAAAGAGAAGAAAAGGAAGGAAGGAAGGAAGGAAGAAAGAAAGAAAAAGAAAGAAAGAAAGAAAGAAAGAGAGAGAGAAAGAAAGAGAGAGAGAGAGAGAAAGAGTCTGTTCTCTCGAAGGGCTCCCAATTGTGAAGCTGTGAACATGCATCACAGACAGCCCACACAGCATCTCCACTACAGGTGTCCCTGGGGGAAGATGTGTGAATTCTAACTGCTTCAGACTAACCAGTCACCAGGCAGAAGTGCACTGTGGCAAAGCTCTCTCCAACAAAAGGCTGCTCAAGCTACAGAAAATACTCTGACGCATGGCCTGGGTTTAAATCGGAACTCTATCATTAGCTGTGCAAAGTACGACAGTTTGTTTAACATACCAGTGTTTCAGTTACTTTTATTAATGAAAAATAAGAAAAATAGTGCCCACCTAGCAGGATTTGGTTAAAAATATAAAGCACTTAAGTCCTGGCACAAATAATGATATGAATTTAACCAACCATCAGTTCCTAAAGAAGATTTTAGAGGCTAGAACCCTTGAATCACTGGAGGAGATCCATAACCTACTCCATAGTTTGTCTCTAATAGAAACAGGCACACACAAGTTGAAGGAAAGGATGCCTCATTCTTGGCCCAAGGTTATGAAGATTAGTGCCCCCCACCCCAATGACCAGAGAAACCTGAGTCAAATTTTATGTGTATTAAGTCTCAGTTCTCTTATCTATCAAATGGAGTTTACAATGGCCCCTACTGCTACTCCCAAGGTTTAGCAGGAGGTGGGTACAGTTTTATACATCATCCCAAATTTAGGAGACTGAGAAAAAAGGATCTTGTTTAGAAGCTAGCCTGGGCTACATAGAACATGGGGCCAGATTACCTACAGAGAGAGATCCTGTCTCAATAAAGAAACAAATGAGAAACTGTTCCATAAATACTAACATTATAATTACTTATTTTTTGAGGAACAATAACACAAAACAGGAAACTAATGAACACCAATGGTTTGCCCATAGCCATACAGGGCATCCTGCCTATAAAAACTATCATTCCCAAATCCCAGATGCACACCAATGGGTGAAGTCAGCATCCCTGAAGAGAAGCAACAGGGCTGTGCAGGGACATGCTATCCTGAGGTTTTATGATCACAAAGGCAGATCTAACTTGAATTGCCTAGATCTGCCTTTGTGGGTTGCTTGGGGCTGCTCTGCACTGTGGGTCATTACTCCTGAAATCAGTTGTAGACTGCCTGCATGACACATGAGGGAATAGAATAAAGCCATGCTGCATTCCTCATGCTAATGACTGCCTGAAAAGCAGAAAAAAGTTTGGTGTGTGTGTGTGTGTGTGTGTGTGTGTGTGTGTGTGTGTGTGTGTGTGTGTGTTGAAGATCATATAGATGGCTCACCAGTCCCAAGGCT